CTATTGTTTTCTTCTATTTCTTTGCACTGTTCATTTAAGAAGGCCTTCTTATCTCTTCTAGCTATTCTCTGGAATTCCGCATTCAATTGAGTGTATCTTTCCCTTTCTCCCTTGCCTTTCGCTTCCCTTCTTTCCTCAGCTATTTGTAAAGCTTCCTCAGACAGCCATTTTGCTTTCTTGCATTTCTTTTTCTTTGGGATGGTTTTAGTTGCTACCTCTTGTACAATGTTGCGAACCTCCATCCATAGTTCTTCAGGCATTCTGTCTGTCAGATCTAATTCCTTAAATCTGTTTGTCACCTCTATTGTATGGGATATGATTTAGGTCATACCAGAGTGGCCTAGTGCCTTTCCCTACTTTCTTCAATTTAAGCCTAAATTTTGCAACGAGAAGCTCATGATCTGAGCCACAGTCAGCTCCTGGTCTAGTTTTTACTGACTGTATAGAGCTTCTCCATCTTTGGCTGCAGAGCACATAGTCAATCTGATTCCTGTGTTGACCATCTGGTGATGTCCATGTGTAGAGTTGTCTCTTGGGTTGTTGGATAAGAGTGTTTGCTATGAGCATCGTATTCTCTTGACAAAATTCTGCCAACCTTTGGCCTGCTTCATTTTGTACTCCAAGGCCAAAATTGCCTTTATTTTGGTTATCTTTTGTTTTCCTATTTTAGCATTCCAATCCCCCGTGATAATAAGGGCATCATTTTTGGGTGTTAATTCTAGAAGGTAGCATTCTCTGTGTGGATAACATCCAAGACCATGCCATGTTCCGGCTTGATAGTTTGTTGAACATCTACTCACGAAGACATGGACATATGAATGTTTACTCAGAGAGCCGTCCAGATGACCAGGACCCTGTGCAAAGACCAAGTTCTCAGGCAAAGTTGAGATTCCCCATATGGGACGAAGAAGAAGCAGAAGACCAAGTCGGTGAGGATATGGAGAATCAGCGGACTTGTAGTTGTGGCTTGGCCTGAAGTCGACTGCCGGTCCTGCTGTTGCTGGCGAGGACAAGCTGGTGGCCATGGGTGCTCGTATGGTGGAATGCAGTCCCATGGATATCCAGGTCCATAGTGTGAAAATGGTGGTGGCATCCAATATGGGTTTCTTCCAGACCAATGGCTCTTTGGTTCAAAGGCACTGAAGGAATGCCGTGTTGAACTCAGTGGAGTGATTGCCAAGGGCAACTCATACGGACATGGAGGGCGCTGTATTTTTCGGTCCACTTGTGGACTAGTTGTCTGTCGAGTGGTGATTCTGGTGGTGAACAGGCTGGGGAATCACGAATCTCGCCTCAGAAATCGAGGTGGGTAGAGCTGTCCCTGGTTGCTGGGCATCCGAGCGAGTTGGTGTTCTCAGGCTCAACCATACCATGGCCCTTGGAATGGAGTTCCTGTTGGTACCAATAAGGAAGTGGTTCTGTCTCTTGGGGAACCTCTACAACTCGCTGAGTGGCGTGTGAATGATGCTTTCTACTTTTTCTCAGGTTTTTCCTCTCTTTTGTCTCCAGATGTTTTCTTTCCTTCTTGTTTTTCTTGGGAGATTGAGAAGGTTTTGCTGCCTCAGCAGAGCCCTTCGATGTTGATGGAGGGGCTGCTGGAGGACACTGCTTCTGGGGCAGGAAATGTGACTGCTCCCTCAGCAGAAACGTCTTTGAAGGCCGCCGTGGCTCTGCCCCAAAGGTCCTCAGGTGGCTATCTAAGCAATTTCTAGCTTGTTTTGCAACGGCCTGGCCACGGGGGCATTTGCTGACGCGGTGCCCCCACCCCCAGCATCCCAGGCTGTCTTGCAATGGCACTGGCGCTCCGCAGGGAGCGCATTTTCTAAAGGCAGGACACTGCGCCAGCGAGGGAGTAAAGAGAGAGAACTAAGTGGAGGCAAGAAGCCAAGAAAAAGATAGAACATTTTTTTATTACTATTGTGAGGGGAGTTTGAAAAAAGGGAGAGGGGAAAAGGGGAGTGTTTGAAAGGAAGAAGTGTGAAGGAAGACAACTAGAGAGAGAAAAGCTGAGGGAGCTGGAGTTCTACAAGAGAGTAGTGAGAGAATCGTGAGAGACCCAAGGGGGCACAGTGAGCAGTGGTCAAAAGTGGACTGGTGAAGGGTGGGAGCCCCACCTACTTATACTGGGGGAGGGGCAGGACTCCCACCAGAAACCGTCGGGCCGAGTCTTCCTGAAATGAGGCACGGTGCAGGCCCGGCACTCACGTGTGTGTGATGCACAGAGACCATGAAGGACAAGGAATGTTGTGGGATCTTGGGGGCAGGAGGAAGTACAGCAGGAAGCCACTTGCTGAAGGGAACTGCCCTGTGACCCCCAGAGGGGCATAAGGGAAAATGGGGAGGGGGAAATGGGCAACACAGCTGGTTTGCGGCAACCCCCTCCCTTCCAGTCTGAGGCCATGCAGGAGGAACTATGGAGAGCCCACCCGTCAGGGCACTTCCCAGGGAGATGCTATGTTCTCGCCTCCCTCTGACTCCGGCCCGGGAGGAGCCAGCCAGACGCCACCCAGGGATGGTCGGTCAAGGAGGATCCACAACGTGGGTGCGTGCAAGAGGTCTCAGCCCCAGAGCTGGGGGCTCCCGGGGGAAGGCGCCCATCAGGCCTCACCCGCACTTGGTCCTTACCTGGCAATCACAAAGAGCACACAGCTCACTCCAAGGTAGGCGAGAAGGATGTACATCCAGATGTCAGGAGACAGGGGGTTGAGGAAGGAGAAGACGCTGGGGCTGGTGCCATTGGCCTTCCGGTAAAGAATGCTGATCCCCAAAGTCATGAAGGGCTTGGAGAAGTCGATGGCTTTCTCCCGGACATGGGTGATGGTAAGCGGCGCCACAGCCAAGTCAGCTTTCTGCAGAGCAGGTGTGGCAAGAAGGGAGGGGAGGGAGGGGAGGGGAGGGGAGAGCAGCTGTTAGGAATGAAGAAGGGAGAGGAGGACAGAGGAGGAAGCTCGATGGGGTCTCTCTGATACAACCTTTTCCCTGTAAGACTGTTCCAGAAACAGCTCTGGAGGAAAGTCTGTTATCCAGCAGAGCTGCAGAAGAGCGGGGGGAACGCAGTGCAGAGATGCGGAGTGTTCCTGGCCGCAGCTGCGGCGCAGGCTCGAGCAGGGCACCTCTGCGCATTTTAGCCGGAGCTGCCGACGGACACAAGACGGCCTCCTCTCTGCTGCCCAGGACCACCTCACGTGCGTTCCCAGCCCGTGCCGTGCCATTAGCCGGCACTGCCCCATAGCCAAGCAGAGCAGGCTAGCTCAGCCCAAGTGGCTTATGATCCACAATGCCACTCGCTCCCATCCATCACCCTGAGAAAACACCCTCTCGTCCCTTTCTGTGCTAGAGTGGGACCATTTTGAACACAGTCTGGTTCTCCGCAGAAGAGACACGGCAAGGTGGAAAATTCCGAGGACTAGTTTAAGCCAGCTAAAAAGGAAGAGGTTGAGGAGGCCAGAGTTCACTAAATGGGTTTAAATAAGAGGGCGGGCACTTCCGGAAAAGCTTCTCAACCAAAAAGGAACATATGATAGGAACGATGTTCCTCTCTGTGATGGTGAGCCATAATGTATGTCTTAAGCCACTTACAATACTTGCTTTTATGATTTAATGTATTTTAGTAAGATTTATGGGGGAAATATAGTTTAAACAGTAGCTTTGTAGGTACATGATCACTATGTCAACATTTTTGTTTTGCTTTGCATTGCATTGTCCGCTGCCCAGTGAGGCCGATGAGCTAATGGGGTGGTTCGTAAGTGCAGCAGTGGTAGCAACCGCAACCAGCTGCAGACTGCAGTCGACGCTTTCAGTCTGACAAGCGCCGCTCCTTCCAGCAGCTTTCCCATAAATTGGTTTATTGGGCTATTGAGTAGAAGGAATGTAAACTGCAGCTTTTGGGGACAGTGGTTTAATTTTATTTATTGCTTCTTAATATTTATTGCTTTTGTTTTGAAATTTTGTCATCGGTGTTTCATGGAGGGGCCTTGAGAGGCTTTTACCTTGAAATTTTGGCCTGCAATATTCTTAAAAATGAATACCAAATAAAGTATACTGTAATTACCGGGGGCAAAAAGGATCCATTTCCTCACTCCTGCCAGCCTGCAGACATGGGCCAACCGGGGAGAGGGGGGTGCAGGGGCGAACGGCTGGCTGGGAGCCCGGCATCGGAGGGAGCACTCCAGACTCCTTGACCCCAGCAATCGGTCCTCGCCGATGGACGTCTGGAGAGGGACGGGGCGCAGCTCACCAGTAAGGGGAAAGCCATTTCGGGAATGCTCTAGCGGCCTTCGTCCCGAGAGCCTCAAATTGATCCTGAGGGTGGGGGGCATCAGGGCCCGACGGCCTGGCCAAGGGACAGGATCGGGGCTGCAGGGGCTGGCGGGGCTACCACACTGAGTGTTTCTGCTGTGCCAGGGAGGCCCGGAGGGAGGGGGCGGCTGGGGGAGCCAGGCAAGGGGCTTGCAGGAAAGAGCTGTGACGCATGTGCGCCAACGCCAGGGATGTGGGAAACGAGCAGGGGGAGCTCGCGGCTTGTATTCTTGCCAAAGCAGGTTGGGGGAGATCTCTCTGGGGTGGTTGAGGTTGGAGTTATGGGGGCACAGACTGGAGCCACTCCCTTGCAAGTTGAGGAGTTCCTCAGGGCTCTGGGTGTTATGAAGGAACCAGAGTCTGATGTACACCCAAGTGTACGTCAGGAATTGGCGGGGCTACTCTCACATCTGTTGGCCTTCATTTTTGAGGCTTCATGGAAATCAGGAGAAGTACTGGAGGCCTGGAGGGAGGCGTCAGTGGTCCCAGGCTTCAGAAAGGGTAGCAGAGGGGACAAGGGGAATTACAGGCCAGTTAGCCTACCATCCATTCTGGGAAAGAGGATGGAAAAGCTCGTAATAAGGAAAGCTCTAGAAACCCTAGATGGGGGGCAGGGGTTGGCAGCCATGAAAAATTGCTTCCACAAAAATAGGTCCTCTCAGACAAACCTTGTAGAACTCTATGACATTTCAAGGTGGCTAGACAGAGGGAACGGGGTGCGTGTGGTTTACTTGCAATTCAGCAGGGCAACAGGCAAGGTCCCACGTGATGCCCTGGTTGAGAAATTGATGAACTTCGGGATAGACCAATGCACTGCCCAGTGGATTAGGGCATGGTGATGGACCGCAAAGAGAGGGTGACAATCAGTGGGGAATCAACAGGATGGCAGCCAGTGACAAGCAGGGTCCCTCAGAGCTCAGTTCTGGGGCCAATTCTGTTCAAATTCTTTATCAGTGACTTGGAGGAGGTGATAACTAGTTTGCTGACCAAATTCGCAAATGATACCAAAGTAGAGGTGGTGGCCCCAACTGGGGAGCAGGTACTCGAGAGCCAAAAGGATCTGGACAGGCTGTGGAAATGGGCAGGGGATGTCAGGATAGCATTCAGTGTGGATAATTGCATGGTCTTGCACTTGGGAATAGGTGTCACAGGTAAAGGAAGGGGGACAAAAGCAGGTCGAACATGAGCCAGCGGTGGGACACGGAAGAAAGCGAGCACCAGCCTTGAATGCACAGTCAGAGGCATGGCTTCCAGACTAAGAAACGCGTTGGTGCTGCTCTGTAAGACTCTGGTGTGCCCACAACTGGAGTACCGTGTCCAGTTCTGGGCTCCGCATTACAAGAGGGACATCACAAGGTTGGAATCAGTGCAGCCCAGGGTCACAAGGATGATTGCAGGCTTGGGGGGTTGTATATGAGATGAGTTGAGGGAGCTGGGTCTTTTCAGCCCGGAGGAGACTCGGGGGGGGGGGTCTTATAGTGACATACATGTATGTGAAGAGGTGTCACACAGGACATGGTTGTGAACTGTTCTCCCCTGGGGTGGAAGACCGAATGTGATCCACTGCAGCAAAGCCCAAGGAACTGTGTTCCAGGCTGATGTCAGGAAGTCCTTCCTGATGTTTAGGACCCCAGGAGATGGAATGGGCTTCCAAGGGAGGCGGTGGAGGCCCCATCACTGAGGATGTTCAAGGAAAGACTGGACATGTTGGGGGTTGCATGAGGGAGGCTGGCTGGAGCTGGGGATCAGACTAGATGGCCCTTCTGACTTCCTATGTTCCTATGTTTGGGGTGTCCAATGAGAACTCACAACTTGGCCCTGATGTGGGTGAGACCTGGATACCTATCAGGGTGACTCTATACCTTAGCAAGAAAACAGAATCTAGGGAGCACTCAGGATGTATTGAACAGTAACATGAATTCTTCAACGTTCACAGCTCAGTTCATGCAGCTCCCGGTCTCATTTGCAATTTTTGGTTGTTGTTGTTGTCTGTTTGAATGGGCAAGGTTTGCACTTCTCCCATTTCCTAAATTAAGAAAATTATTTTTAACTGTGTATTTTTCAAGATACACTTAAAATCATTCATTTTAAAAATGATACCTTCATTAATGTGTTTAATTGTATAAATGTATATTTTTAAGGTGCATATTTTGGGAACATAGGCATAAGTTTGGATTTGGAAACATTTTTGGAGAACATGCTGCAATTCCCATGCTGCAAACAGGCATTTTTGGATGAATTGCTGATTGGTAGAAAATTCTCAGGCATCCCTAATTCTGGTTTTAACTTCTCTGAAAACAGCCACCTGGAGAACACTTTGCATCAGCAGCCGCAGCACTCAAATATGATTGTTTATATGCTCACCTCGTCCTCTGTTTTCACTAAATCAATGCAATCTGTCTTTTCTTTTCTCCTCTCTTTATACTATGCAGCCGTGGATATGCCAAATTTAGATTTGGACAAGAGAGGCACAAATCGAAAAGAAAGGGAATTGGCATGCCAAACCCACTTTTCCAAATGTACTGACAAAGGGGCTCTCCGAAGAGATACATCAGTCCTCAGCGAGATTTTCCTGTAAATGAACTTGGAGAACCTTCCTGCTGTGATTCTTTTCCTCCCAGTCAGACATGCAGCAGAATCAGTCAGTGGCCAAGTTGCTTGCTGCACTGCCTTGCCTTGCCTCTGAAGCGAGCGATGCTCCACCGTCAGCTGCAAGAACATTTCCAAGCCAGGTGGCCATCAGGACATAATTCATGGGGATTTACTGTCAATAAATGCCTGTTTATTGTGAAAGCACTAAATCAGCTATCAAATCATCCCCCAGCGACAGAGATTATGCCTGAGCAACCATTATCAGTGGCTCCCTCCAACATTTGTGCGCCTAATACCAGGTGGAAATCATGGCAGCCCAGAGAAGAGAAGAACTGTTACGGGTGCAAAGGCAGGAGCAAAATATCATTACTAAGGAGAGTGGGGTTCTTAGTGCAGCCACATTTAACACAAGCTTCTTCTGCAGTGGGAGGGCTGTAAAATGAAGCTAGCTGAAAACGAAAAGAAACACGAAGCATGCTTCATTATGGATTATGAAGAAGTAACAATGAATGAACTAACCTAAGACATGCATCGTCCCGAGATGCGACAGCAACTCCTATAGTAAAAGCAACTGACGCATGGCCAGAACCAAGCATCAGCTGCTGGGGGTGTTGATGCCAGGCTGCAGACATACCGGGCCAGGCCCACCAAGGCCAGGAAAAGGTGCACGTCAGCCAAATATGGGTGATGATCGGCCCCAGTGGCCTCACTGCCTTTATAGGGTTCAAGCCTTAAAGGCAACCTGCGTGGCTGGATGGCTGGACAGATGGAGGCTTCACTCATGTGGATGGTAAAAATGATGGGGACAAGGGGGAACCCTGTGGCACCACAACGGTTATGCTTAAGAAACTGAACGTCCTCTCTCTTTTAGACTACAGCTCCCCTCAGCCAATGATCAATGCAACGTAGTGTGTGTTCTAGTTCAAAAAGTCTAGAGGCCCCAGAGTGGCCCATCCCC